TGCCCCTGGACCTATTTTGTTCGTTAGATTCCACATATATCGTGTGATATTTGTCTTTCTCTGATGGGCTTATTTTGCTTAGCACAATAATCTCCAGATTCATGCATGCTGTAACAAAGGGTAAGAGTTCCTTTTTTTTTTTTACAGCTGCATAATATTCCAGGATGTAATTGTACCACAGGTGTTTTTTTTTTTTTATCTACTCATCTATTGATGGACACTTGGGCTGTTTCCAGATCTTAGCTATTGTACATAACGCTGCTATGAACATAGGGGTGTATGTATTCTTTCTGACTGGTGTTTCAGGATTCTTAAGCTATATTCCCAGAAGTGGGATTGCTGGGTCACACGGCAGTTCCATTTTTAATTTTTTTAGGAAACGCCATTCTGTTTTCCACATGGCTGCACCAGTCTGCATTCCCACCAGCAGTGCACGAGGGTTCTCTTTTCCCCACATCCTCACCAGCATTTGCTGTTTGTTAATTTATTGATGGTAGCTATTCTGACAGATGTGAGGTGATACCTCATTGTAGTTTTAATTTGCATCTCTCTGATGATTAGTAACATTGAGCATTTTTTCATATGTCTATTGGCCATCTGTGCTAGTATGTCCTCTTTGGAGAAGTATCTATTCAAGTCCTTTGCCCATTTTTTAATTGGATTGTTTGTCTTCCTGGTGTTGAGTTCTATGAGAACTTTATATATTTTGGAAATTAGTCCATTGTCAGATGTATCATTGGTGAATATGTTCTCCCATATAGTGGGTTCCCTTTTCATTTTGATGGTGGTTTCTTTTGCTGTGCAAAAGCTTTAGTTTGATGTAGTCCCATTTGTTTACATTTTCCTTTGTTTCTCTTGCCCTAGGAGATATACTGGTGAAAATACTGCAAAGTGAGATGTCTGAGATTTTACAGCCTAAATTTTCTTCTAGGATTTTTATGATTTCTTGACTTACATTTAAGTCTTTTATCCATTTTGAGTTTATTCTTGTGTATGGTATAAGTTGGTGATCTAGTTTTATTTTTTTACATGTAATTATTCAATTTTCCCACCACCATATATTGACAAGTTTAATCAAACCATACCTGTTAAACTAACCCATTTTGCAATCGTAGAAGAATTTATTATTAAAATATTTGGTTAATTTTTTGTGCTCCTTTATTTTTCCTCATGCTCATTCTCTGTCCTATCGGTTCAGTTGGTTTCTCCAGGAACAGGAGAAGAAATAAAATTGCAAAACAATTCATTTGGACCCTTGTTTTTGCAACCTAGTGTGCTTTGCAATCTAGAGGTGAAGAAAATATCATAAAAGTATAATCATGGTTAATAAAATTCCCTGCATAAAAACATGTCCAAATAGTAACAATGGCAATAGCAGAAGCATCAATAGCTATCATTATTAAAAAAACTTTATTATGTGCCAGGCATTGTTCTAAGTTCCTTACATGCATTAGCTCATTTGATCCTCCCAACAACACTATAATTAGTACTTTTCTTGCTTGTACTTAACAAATGAGAGAACTGTGGCATTACCCAACAATGCTGGCTAAAGTAGCACCCCGCATAGTTATTCTCAGTTTCATTAATGTTTTATTTCCTTCACAACATTAATTACTCTCTGAAATTACCTACTTTACTGTCTATTGCCCCTGTTGAAGTTTTCTGGGTAAGGCCTTTGTTTTATTCACTGCTGTATCCCAGCTTCTAGAGCAGGCCTGGCTGCCAATAACTGTATGCTGAAGGGATGGATGAATGAATGAAGGAGGCTTACATTTAAGTAGTTTATCCAAGGTGATGTAACCATAAGAGCCGGTATTCAAGCTGAACTCTGTCTAACTCCAAAGCATGGTTTTCTGTTATAGCTTTTTATACCCTAAAGTCTTCCTAGATATAGTCTAACCCAAGCCTAGTATTTTGCAGATGAGGGTACAGAAGCTCAGAAAGGCTAATTCCCCCCCCCCAATATCACACAGATTGTTAGTGGCAGAGCCAGAATCAGAGCCTAGACCCCTAGTGAGTGTTTTTGCACCATGAATTCAGTCTCCCCAGTTCATATAAAATCTATATGCTACTGCTGTGCATCATCCACCCACATATTAATGCCATAAACCTAAGTCATACTTGACACCTCCCTCTCTCTTACCACCCTCTTCCTCTAATTCACTATAAAGTCTTGCCAGTGTACCTTCTAAAGATAGCTCATATCTTTCCACTTTTCTTCCTGTCCTCTATTACCCAAGCCACCATCAACACTCACCTATGTAATTGTAGTAGCCGCCTACCTAATTTCCCCTGCCTTCTCTTGCCCCTTTTCAATCTATTTTCTTTAGAGTAGCCAGACTTACCTTCTAAAATGCAAATCTAATCATACCACTCTGCTGCTTAAATTTTATTATTTGTTTTACGATGCAATTTAAAATTCTTAACATGGTCTTTGAGCTTGTGGGATCTGGCCCCTAACCACCCCTCCAGTCTCATCTTACACTACTCTCTTCCTTTCTCATTTATTGTTCTGCTCCACTGACCCTATTTCTATTCCTAAGAATCAAGCTCTTCAAAGTTTTAATTCATGAGCCCCCCCCCCCTTCTATGGGCCATCTCCTCTACCCCTGTCTCCTTTTTCTCTTCTACTTGCCTCCTCATCCTCTGGGTCCCAGCTTACATTTCATTTCTACAGGTAAGTATTCTCCGATGGACTCCTCCCAACTTCCCCTCTGACCAGGTCAAGTCCCCTATGAAATGTTCTCAGAAGTACCATCAATTTTTCCCACATGGCATTTATTACAATTATAATTAGGCATGTCATTTGTGTAATTATTTAGTTAATGTCTCCTCCCTAATAGACTGAAGCTCTAGTGACCATGCTGTGATCCACAGAGACATAGTAGATGCCTCATAAAAATTTATGGAGCATTCTGTAGTTCCTGGGATGAAATATCAGTGACAATACAGAAATGTTTAAGGAAAAGGAGACAGAACGTAAACACTAAAAACAGTCCAAAAGACTTCCTTACCCATTCCAGCATGAGCAGCTTTTCCTTTTAGTAACATCCATCAGTGCATTTCTGTTCCCAGGAGAACCTACAGCTTCGCTAAGGGGGTGTTGGCCTCTCCAGTTGAGTGTCAGATTTGAGAGAGGCCTTCCTTCTGATAGCTTTGCTGGGTAGAGTAATCTTGGTTGTAGGTCCTTACTTTTCATCACTTTGAATATTTCATGTCACTCCCTTCTGGCCTGCAAAGTTTCTGTTGGGAAATCAGCTGACAGTCATATGGGCACTCCCTTGTAGATAACCCAACTGCTCTTCTCTTGCTGCTTTTAAGATTCTCTCTTTTTCTTTAATCTTTTTTGTTTTAATTATGATGTGTCTTGGTGTGGGCCTCTTTGGGTTCATCTTGTTTGGGATTCTGCGCTTCCTGGACTTGTATGTCTATTTCCTTCACCAAGTTAGGGAAGTTTTCTGTCATTACTTTTTCAAACAGTTTTTCAATTTCTTGCTGTCTCTCTTCTCCTTCTTGCACCCGCATGATGTGAATGTTGGTACGCTTGAAGTTGTCCTGGAGGCTCCTTACACTATTTTCATTTTTGGGGAGGTGATTCTTTTTTCTTTTTGCTATTCTGATTGGGTGTTTTTTTGCTTCCTTATATTCCCAATCGCTGATTTGATTCTTGGTTTCATTTTTAAAAAGATTTTTCTTGATTGATTTTAGAGAGAGAGTATGTGAAAGAGAGAAACATCTATTTGTTGCTCCACTTATTCATGCATTCATTGATTGATTCTTGTATATGCCCTGACCAGGATTGAACCTGCAACCTTGGTGTATCAGGATGATGCTCTAACCAACTGAGCTAACCCAACCAGGGCTGAGACTTTGCTGCAGCAAATGCTCTATGGGGTTGTCTCTTTGCTGTTCATAGATTTATCCATTGATTCTTTTAAGATTTTACTTACCAATTTTTTGACATCCTTTTCTCTGAAATGCCAGATTTCTTACTCCTCAAAGCTAGAGATGCATCTGGGAGAAAAAAATTAAGTGTTCTTAGGTGTTTCAGTTTTGCATCAAGACCTATTAGAAGAGAACTTAGAACTAAGCGAACTACTCTTTCCCAAGATTGCACAGCCATGCAGGATGCCTGGTGCCCTGCCTGATCTTTGAGTCTGGCCATTTGGGGAAAGCATAATTGTTATAAGGCGATTGTTTATTCTGATTATTGCAGTCATACATATTTATTGTAAACATTTTGGGAAATATAAAAGTATAAAGAGAAAACTTAACTGTGATAACTACCAGGAACTATAATTTCCTAATATGTTTGTCTCCTCTTTAAGCAATTCATATACATTCATGAAGACTACTTAAGTCTATTAAACTAGTAAAAGATTTACAGATGATGATTTTAGAAAATGCCCATCCATGGAATTTAGTGGGAAGAGTTATCGTTAAATTTAATGATGTACCAAAGTTGGAAAATTTTAAATTTCTTAATTGTATGCTCCAGTTTGATTTTTATTAATTGGAAAAAGGGAAAAACTGTGCATATTTAAAAAATTAGTATGGAATCAAACAAAAAGGTATAATGACCTCAGTGGTTTTATTTGCTCCTGTAAGTGATTTTCCATTTATTTTTGCCTAACATAAGATGCATATACAGTAGGTCTTTAACTGATGCATATGAATTGGCTGAAATCCCATTAAAATTTAACTTTTGATATTTGAAATTTGGTTATTGTTTTTGCTGTTTTGTTGTGATTGACATTTAGTAAAATTTATTTAGAATATTGTACTATTTTCCTGAGTTATAAATTTACCATCATAAAATCAACAACAAAAGAAACTCATGTGATATAATACTACTAATAATTATGTTACATTTGTTTAAAGTCAAAATGGCTTATTCTGAGTATAATTTTAAAAAGCCATTTCCTAAAGAATGACTGCAAGGAATGATTCTAGAAGAGACTTCTATAATACAAAAAGGTCTATCCCCTTGTGTTTTTCAGGCATCTGGCCGGCTGAAGAGGTTTTGGCTTACTACTGCCTCAAGCACAGTGAGATATTCAGGTACAAAGCTGCACTGAAAAATACTTTTTTCCCCCAGCCCATTATGGGTATTGTATCTGCATGTTAAAGATTGTTATGGTTACACTCTTCAAATTAAATTGTTTAAAAGATAAGAAAATGAGAGAGAGAGAGAGAGAGAGAGAGAGAGAGAGAGAGAGAGGAAACAAGAAGAAAGAGAAAAAAGTTCATGGTGAAAACATGTTGCTTCTAAAAAAATCTGAATTGCCTTTGGGTACTAATATTGCACAGCAAGCTTTTTGCTATATGTCAAAAGCTTTTGATTTTTACTCAAGGCTTTTTATTTCACTTTGATTTTGGGGAAACAAAAGTGAAGCTCCAATCAATCCTTACTGATTGTAAAGGTCAAAAAAAACCCCACAGAAACAATAAAGACTTTCTTTAAACTTCTGCCAGAGAAGTCACTACAGAATTTTTTATAAATAGATATCCCACAGCTATTATTTAAAGGTGCCATCCCACCCCCGGTTTGTAAAGGTGTTTTGTACACTTAACAACGTGTATTTATAAAATATAGTAATAAATAGTAATTATAGATTCATGCTACAGAAATAAATGTTTTCAACTGTCAGTGTGCATTATAGATCAAACCCATGCATGAGGTTTAGGAAAAAGAAAAAAAAAACTTCTTTTATTTGAAAATTATAAAGATGTTTGGTAGACCCAGAAAATAAAGGTTTTTTTATTTAAAATCTCATTTTATAAAAGTCATCCACTAGAAGCTTCCTGAATAGCCCATTATGATTCCAGACAAGCCGTTAGAGATCATGGTGTGTGTGTTTTAGCAATATGTACTTACAAGACTGGGTCAATAATGTATATTTTTTGAAGTTCAATGGGCCCATATTTACCAACTAGTCTGTAATTGCTTTGAACAACTGAATACCCATTAAGTGCATTTTGGACTATGAATGTTCTTGTTTGGCTTTTTCTCCTCCCCTTCCCTCCCTTTCCACCTCTCCTTCCCTTTTAGTGCTGCTTCCGCCCCCCCCCCCCTTTCGGGTGAGGTAATAAACTTCCCAAACTGGGATAAAGAAACAATCTTAAGAATCTAAACATGTAGAATAAGAGCAGGGCAGTATTGAATTTGGGCTGCAGAGCTGCCCTGGACGCCTGGCATTTGCTCATCTCGCTGTGCTTAAGCTTGACTGGAGCTCCAATCAGCGGGCAGGGGGCCAGGGCGAGGATGTCACCCGTGGAGCGCTGATATTTAGGCACAAAGAGGAAGGTAAGTGCAGAGTGCCACGTTAGCCTGTCAGCTTTAACTTGGAGCCGCTCTACTTGGGAGCGGTGAAGTCAGAGCCCAGTCATTACTTTAGCTGGGTTTGCTGGCTTAACCATATTATGTCCCTGCATTGTTTATTCACTGTGTTGTGTCGGGGTCAATTGTGATTTAAGTGTTAATTGCTAAATGCTCTTTGTGTAATTGTTCCTGATGGGGGCGGTTCAGCTTTCCCAAATGTTTCGGTTTGTTTTAGATTATTATTTTTTTTTAAATTCAAGATTGCATTTATTTTGTGTGTGTTGTGTGTGTGTGTGACGATAATATAGGTATATACACACTCACGTATATTCTTCATTTACTTGTCTAACTGTTTTTGAAGGAATGAATGTGGATTAACAGTGTTATCCTTTCCTAACAATTATCTTTCGCTACTCTAGCTAGTTTAGTTCTAAAAGACAGCGCCATTGACAAGGGAAAAAAAGGGATCCTTCTCAGATTTTTCAGCTCAGCGGTGGTAATGTTGCAGTGAACACTAATGAGGGAACCCCCACTGGTTTGCCTGCTTTGTGACTTTTCTATTTCATAATTATTTTTAAAACGCAAAACGACATGAGGTAGCCCAGTCATGTCCCGACAACTTCCTGGTAGCGCCGTTCTTACTGCAGATGGCAATTTGTTCTTGTAACATATATCTCTCTCCGACCATTTTCATCTAATTTGTATGGGTTCTACCGTTTCTTTTCTCTCTTTCAGGGACCTTGCTGTGTGTGAGCTAGGGGGTGGCATGACATGCTTGGCTGGGCTCATGGTAGGTCTTTTCTCAATTCCAATCTCATTCAGAGGGAGGAACAAAAGGAAAAATGTTCCAGGGCCTCCAACTGCTGGGTCAGAGAACCGTCAACAGCATCAGCTGCGGTCAAGCTGCCGGGTCTTGAGAGACCTTCTAGATTGACTTACTTTCGGATCATATTGATTTTTATGGCTGCCTCGATGAGCAGAAACATTTTACCTCAGTGAGTCGATATCGCTTGTCGTGACATTCCAGGCCTCTCACCGTCTTTCTTTGCCATAGCGAAAGCATTTTTTTTTTCCTTTCAGATTATAGTCCCATTTGCTAAGATTCAGGAATAGCCCGGCGAATCACAGTTGGAGCACCATGATATAGCTGCTAATGTTTTGCCTGCATTATTACACCAACAAACATGATCCAGAGCGCTCCGTAATTAGATTCTTTTGAATTAGATTGGCCATTCAGGAACGTCGTTCCCCATTCTCTGGGTTCTGAGTCATGTATTCAGGAGATACTATGTAGCAGCACAGTGCATTAGACAAGTTTTTATGTCTCTACAAATAAAAGCATATTGTTACACTGATTGGCATTTGACAAACCTGTCGCTCTTACACAATGTGTCGAGGTTACAGCCCAATGTGCGAGCATGTCAAAGCTCACAAAAAAATTACCCTCACAAAGCCATCTGCCTGCAATGCAAAGTTATATGAAGGGCATCAGGCAGTCAGACAGAAGCAAGCTGAAAGGCAGAGTGACAGCCTTGTATGATGGCTCTACTAGATAAACAGAAGCCCACAAATGAAAGCCTCTCAGAATACCATCATCCGCTGTCACAATGCAATTACCGAACAGAATGATAGCAAGATAGAGGCTCCCGCAAATGGAATGATAAAAGTATTGACTGATTTGATTGAATGATTAAAATAATGCAGACATAAAATGAAAAAAGATTGAAGATTGTTACAGAGAAATAGGTGAGGAAGCATGATACTGAAGGCTTGTCACTCCTGTCTTCACTTCCACACAGACAAGCATATTTGCTCATTGTTTGCTGTGCTCCCCCCGCCTTTTTTTTCCAGGTTGCTATTTCTGCAGATGTCAAAGAAGTTCTGTTAACTGATGGGAATGAAAAGGCCATCAGAAGTATCCTTATTCAGATAGAAAATGGGTTTGTGGCGTTCATTCCTCCCCTCTCCCGATCCCCTCCCACCCCCGGCAGGCTGAGTAACGGTTGATATAAAGAAAGTCAGCATGGGGTATTAAAAAAGAGTTTCCCCCATACATATGATAAGTAATTAAGAAAAAGTAGAAATATATGGAGTTCATTGGGCAAGATGAAGTGTTGTTTATTTTGATCGATTTTAATGGTAACTTCTCCTTAAAGGAGCCTATGATTTGTGGACTATTCGAGGCAGGAAGAACATTTTGTTTCCAAATAATTTTCAGGCATTCTTGTTTTTTATTTCCACTGAAATTTGCCAGCACAAAATAAGTTACTTAATATTTATTACATTGGATATTGCTTACAAAAATTAGCTTTCTTGTGTTTGGTAGTGTACATCTGTGCCATGTAATATTATGCCTACTCTAATTCCTGAGGAGTTACTTCTATCTCCCCGCTGAAAACAGCTAGCAGGTTTTCATTATTTCCTTTTATTTAGGATTATAAGAGCTATCTCTTTTTTTCTGCCATGCTATTACAGTTCAAACCCCATTATATTAGATTATGCTTTACTAATATGTACACAGAGTTCATGAAAATTGAACTGTACTTTAACTAAGAAAGCAAGCATAATTTGTGGCTACTTTAGCAATCGAGCTGATTTGTTCAGGGGCAGTTAACAGCCGTTAGAAATTGAGAGGAAAAGTGGAAGATATGTTTGCTTTGGGTTTTTCGGTGTGCCTTACATTTACATTCTGAAGAAGGTAATCTCCTCATTTGAATTTGAGACTCCTAAAATGTCAAAGCAGGTCTGATTTTTTTTTTTTGTGGCATCTTACATAAAGCCTTTTTAAAAATTATTTTCTTTTGCTACTTCCGCTCTGTAATTTTTTTTTGCAAATAAAATTTGCAGCAGCTCCATCAGGCTGCTCCGACGGGAGGAAGGAGGTACCAGAAGCACAGTAGCTGATATTGTGCAGCCGCACTTGTGTGCTCTACAGAGCCCCACCCAGCTAATTGCCTGACAGACTTAAAAAAATTCAGGAAGGAAAAACAGCCAATCACAGGCTTGGCCTTTCACACAAGAGAAAGAGATCACAAAAGGTGCTTCCTTTTTTAAAATGCAGGATTTTAATCATGATCTTCAGGCTGTCGCAAGTTTCTCAAAATATTCCTGAAGATGAGCCCATGTTGTTCATTCACTCTGCTTTTATTCTGAGTTATTTCGTGCACGGTATCATTTCCCTGTGCTCCTCCTCCGCATGTCAGGGAACACAGAGAGCGAGAGGGAGTCAGGTATGCCGGCTCAGCCCCAGCGGATCTGTTCTTCCAGGGGAGAAAAGGGGGCAGGACTATTGGGCAAGAGAAGGTCATTTTAGCCACAGAAACTTTCTGCTTGGGCCCAGCAACCTGAGGTTTTCCTTAAGTCAGCAGGTGTCTCACTTAGCAGCCTCAGGAACCAATTAGAACTTTTAACAAAGTCTGGGAAACATCTGTAGTCCGCATGTAAATTTAATGACACAAATTATTAGCGAGCTAAACGACAGAGCTTCCAAAGAAAGGAAGCAATGCTAATGTCACTAATTAACGCACCTTGGCTTTCAACAGCAAAGATGCCAGACCAGCTCTTGAAATCAGAGAGGAAATCTCAGATTCTGTGTTCACTCTGCCGGCCTTTCAAAGAAATGATTGGTACAGCCCCCTCCCAAGAAAATGGATTTTTAACATTTGGTCCTCAGAAGCTCAGCCCTGAGAGTGCTTTTTTGTGCCGGGGTTTACAATGGGTTTAATATAGCGGGGTGCCAGAGGGCAGGAGGGGAAGAACTCTACAATGTAGATAAAGTAGGTCCTTTCAGGATGCAGACCCAAACGGGCAGTGCTTTATTTCGTCTCTCAGGACTTTCCTAGTGCAGTGCGGTTTTCGTCACGCCGCTGTTCTATGTTTGTGTGCATTTTCCTGTTGTAACTAGATCTAATTTTTTTAAAATTAAAAGAAACAAGCATGCATCAAGCCTTAAAAAATTGGCAATGTGTTTTTCCTGCTCTTAATACTAATGATATCCTGACTTGCTAATAGAGCTTACAACTGGCATTCATCCTGCGCAGTTTTGCTGAGTGAGGTTAATATGAATGAAAAAAATTTTTTTTCTATGTGTGTGCCCATTTTCTGTTGGAATAACGAATTCACTGAATCACATGCTGTTGATGCATATGGGTCGAAACAGACTCATTTAAAAATTACTGTTTACGTCTTTCCTTTAAAATTTTAGGAAGCCTAAATTATATAGCAGTTGTAGGATATTATTCAAAAATTACTTTCTAAAAAGTAAAAGTGGATGTCAACCAAAAAAAGGGGGAGAAACATTGCCAGAAGCCAGAAAATCTCTAAGCAAAGCTGCTAATTATTCTTAATGGGCAAGATGAGCACATTAAGAAACAAATGAATACATCAGTGAAATGTAATTGAAAATCGACCTGGCAGTCGCGCATCACATCTGAGTATTGGCCTGTATATTATTCTCATCTTTTAAAAAATTATTTCTGTTGTTCTTGGCATCTGAATTTAATGAATCTACCTGGGCCTTACTTCCTAGTCTCTTAATCTTCTAACATTCTGATTCTTACCTTTTTTAAAAATAGAGCAATTCCTGATATTTTCTTTTTATCTTCTGTTATTTCTGATTTTTAAATATGTGAGGCAATGGAAAGATGTGTTCTGAATCTTTATATCATAGAAACATATCAACCAGTTGTGAGGTTATTTTATTCACTGTCTTCCTAAAATGTATCCAGTGGATTGGCTGTATCTTCTAGAGCAGTGGTCACCAACCTTTCAGACCACCCGTGGCAGTTGATGACCGCTGTCTAGAGCTCTCTACCTTGACCTGGAAAGCTAGATGTTGATTTGAGATTTATTAAACAGATATCTGAAAAGAGATGAAGACTTGCGGTATAAGTGAATGTTGTAAGTCTGAACATTTTCTCAGATTCCTGGGTAGATGTCTCTGAGGCTCTCCGTGGCCCTTAAACTACAGAGCCCCCCACCTCAGAGTGCCTCTCCGTACTGATGCCGTGATTTAGCTGTACCCGGAGAGAACAAAGGATAAGTTAGAACATAACATCATTTGGTTCATCCATTTGTCAAACTTATCTTGAAATAGTATGGAATGTATTCCTTTCCTTTGGTGCTGCCCTTTTAGTGTAATTACGAATTCTCCAAGTGCCCACAGATAATAATTACTCCATAAAATTTGTAGCTGGCAATGGCAATGACATAAGAATAGGGGAGAGAAAGGATATACTGAGTTATTATGGATGCTAAGCTTCTTCCAAATCATAATGAATAAAAGTACAACATCTAAAGGTGAGCATCCCTCTCCGCTACACTCACTACTCGCCCAACACAAGCACCCCGCCTTGACCCCTCCTCAGTAAACATCAAGTTGCCACCTGCAGCATATGGCAACGCTTGGCGACCCATTTCCTGTGCCCCTGACCCAAGCGTCTCATCCCCACAGTATGCACAGTCTGGATCATGATCTCAAGCTTAAGATTCTTCCAAATTTGGTTAATTTCATGTCCATTTTAAAGGACACCCCGGCTTACCATTATTTTAACAGAATCCCTGATTAACAGGCATTGATCAGTGAAGCTGCATGTGGACTGAGCAGCCTGGGTTGGGGATGGTTGGGACCTTGGGAATGCCGGGCCCTCCGCCTCCACCCAGGCCCCTCCTGCAATACCAATGCCAGCTGAAGTATTGATGCCAGCACTTCTGTGTACAAGATGAGTCACACATGGACCTCTGTGGGCCTCACATTGGGCAAGAACTCAGCAAATAGCTTTGAAACTTAATTTTTAGTTAATTAATTAAAATTAATTCAACCAGTATTAACTGCATGCATTTCAGGTGCTAAAGAGACAGCAGAGGACAAGACAGACCAAGCCCCTGTCTTTGTTGGCCACAGGCTACGCCTTGGCTAGAGCACATATTTATACATGGGAAAGACACTGGAAACCTACAGGGTAGAAGTTCTTGGATTCCCTCCAGTGACTTAAATTCTACAATATAAATGTTCACTTAACTGACTCTGAGTGGCAGGGAAAGAAGGTGAAGCTTCATTGCCAAACCTCATTTGAGTTACAATCACCAGCCTCTTCAGCCCTCCAAAGCTTTTACTTGAATTATTGAAAAAGATAATGAATTGACATGAATTAGGCACCTACTATGTGTCAGGCTCCTCGTATGTGACACTCCATTAAGCCCGTAAAATAGGTTTCATCATTCCTGTTCTGAGGTGGAGCTCAGGGAGGTTAACTGACCCACGTTTACACAGCCGCTAAGAATCGGAACCGGCGCTAGAAGCCACGTTCAGTTGACTTCAAAGAGTCTTTTTCTCCCATTAAACAGTTCTCTTTACCAAAAGCCGGGCTGCTTGGGTGAGTGTCGTCTTGCATTTCCTCAGCGCCCTCTGGAAGAAAAGTCCTCTCATCCATAAACCACGGCTGACATTGCTAAAAGAGTTCAGGTCACCTCTATGCCATCTTCTCAATTCATTTGAGTAATGAGCACACTTAGGAATATTTGGCGACCTTTAAATTAGCAAATATTGTCACACTTTAGAAACTTTAGAAATAAAAGTAAACAGGATTTATATAGTAATTTCATAGTTTCCTACTCTCACCTTTGATGTTCCAGTGAGGAATAAAGGAAACATGAACCACGAAGGTAATGCCGCTTGAGCCGCAATGTTCTTCTTTTTCAAATGCTTTCTTGTTTAAAGAACAATACCAATTCTCAAAATGTGTGTGTGACCACCGATAAATATATACAATTACTAATTGCAGAAGGAGGTTAATATTTTAAATCGTGTTATGTATAATAGGTAACATAATTTGTTTAAATAAGTGATATCGTTATTATGCAAAAATATAATTTTAAGAATAAAAATCAACTGAAGCAAAATTATAATGGAGCCCCACTCCTGAGCTTTGCTTTATTTGAGAAGAACATGTAGAGCTAGAATCCTGGTCTCCTTTTAGCCACGAGCATGTGTCCTCTGGCTCTGGAGGTCTGTTTGCCCAGGCAAGGAGATTGGAGGTGATTACTCTGCATCCGTTGAATCAGAAATCTCTCTTTGCACCCAGCACCTCCCACTGGAGTCTCCCAGAAGGTGGGTGCAGTTCAGAGAACACGATTTGGTCCATTCTATCCAAAACTGTCCTGGACAGACCGACTACGATTGATTGAATTTCCTTTATTACCCTGAGGTGACACAGAAGAAAGGCCACATTTATTATTGGGCACAGTGCCAACTAGAGGAACCACCCAAAAACCCCACCTAAAGTAACGGGTGGGGATCAGAATGTCAGAATATATCTCTTAAGGTAGTATTTTCATACGCTATTGACATTTTTTTCTAACCCACCAAATATATTCTCTCCCCAGTTCTAAAAGTAAAGCAGCCTAAATACTGCTGTGAATTTTTTTTCATTTAAAAAAATTGCTCCTAGAATATAAATATATATGCTTGCTTCAGCCTGGCCACCTGAAGTCACATGTTTATAAATTGTATAAAAGTATATAGTGTTGAGATGTTTACTAAAAATTATTAATAGGTTTTCTGAGTTATATAATTTAACTTCCCTGTGACTATTTTATAAAAAGTATTACCTCCAGTAACAAAATAACATGTTTTGCTTGATAGATTAGGCATGTACTCACAGGACGCGACAGGTGTACCTGTCACATTATGGCTTGCAGTTGGATGCCATGGAAACGCTGACTAGGGTGTGGCCAGAGTGTGGGGGAGCTCAATCAAAAACAGTTGTCAGCTGACTACTAATTTTGTTCTCAGAATAAAGATGTCAGCTGTCCTTTTCTACAAGACATTTCATGTAGAAGACTTTCCTGAAATACTTTCTTCCTGAAATAGAACTGTAGGCCTATGTGTCATTTCAGTTAATCAAAACAAGTAGGCAAATTAGTCTCTTTTATTTTTTTAATGAATGTAATTTAACAGTATTTAATTTGCATACAGGAAAGTTCATCCAGGAAAAAAAAAAGTCTGCATTATAGCACTTTTGTAAACCTCAACAAAGCCCTTCATTAGGAGACCTAATTGATTTTTCCTCCCCACTCCTGGGGGAAGAAAGCTATCACAGTACCTGCTTATTCACTCCGAGAAGAAATGGGTGTGCCTGGTGTTTCAAGCAGAGATTTGGGTTGAAGCGTCCTGTGGCTCTGTTCTTGCAGGGAGACCTGGGCCAGTGCTCGCTTCCAGCATTCAGGAAATCTGTTTTTCTGAGCAATAGGGGAACATCGCTTGTCTGCTTGGTGTCCTCCCCATGGGCCCAATTTAGTTCAGCTTGCAGCCTTCGCTGGAATTATTTTATTTCTTGTTTATTTAAACCTGCCTTATTCCAAAAGAGGGATTTTGAGGTTTCTTACAGTGACACAGAGAATATACCATATGAAATACATGAGAAAGTGAGGGCAATTGAAAATTAGAAAGACAAGAAAACATGATGAAGCCAGGAGTGGAGGTCAGTATAGAAAATACACCCAATAGGAAGGAGCTACTGTAGTGGTCAGACTTGGGTCTGAGCTGCACAGCGACTCGAGCGAAAAGAGAAAGAGGAACAGTTACAAGATTTATAGAAGTTGAAGCAAAACTAACTGTCAATCTAAAGTCTAGCATTTCCCATGCGGACACCCAATGTGCTGTTTCCCCTGGGCCCTCCTGGAGACGATGTTGCGTGATGTAAGTGACCATCTCCCCAAAACATCTTTTCAGTAGACATGGCTCTTCTTGTACAAGTGCTTACACACCAGCAGATGGCCAGAGGCCAGAGCATAGGTCCCTGTAAGGACAGTTCATCCAGGGGCCTTTCACCGGGTTGACTTTCTTCAGTAATTCATTTTCTCTCAAAGAATCTCCGGGCTTTTCTTCATCTTCCTCGTCTCACTTTCTCCCAAGTCTTCTCTGCTGCTCATCCCCACCCTCTCTACTAGCCTTTAGGAGGCTGGGAATACTTCAACCTGGAAAGTCTCAGAAGATGCCCATTGCCCTCCCCGGTGACTGCAGACCTTTGCCTTTGAAGCGAGTGGGGCTTGGCACCTATGGAATAGTCCTCTCCCCCCACCAATGCCCACATTGGGCCTCGCCCCGATGCTCCCTGAATGTACATTTCCCAGGTAACAAAACTGCAGCCCAGGGAATTAAAAGAGCTTGCCTGTGGCAAGTAACTCAACATTTGGTGGTAGGGCCAGAGCTAGAACCTTCTCCGCCTGCCTTACATAACCCTACATCTCTTCTCTTCTCTTGTCACCTATCCCCTGTCCGATAACATCACTGTGTTTGTGGGCTTTTATTTATTTATTTTTAGTCATTTGACAGTCGGTGCAGAAGCTTTCTTAACTATGTCCAACAGATGTGAGAGACATCATCCAAAGGAATCAGAAGGCTGGTGTGTTTAAGACTCAGAAAGTATCAAGCTGGTAAGATACCTTCCTGCATCAACACGCTCTGGTTGAAACTGCTTTTTTCCATGCTGTGGGTGATTATTAAAAGCAATAATAGTTCACATTTAGTGAGCATTTACTGTGTGTCAGGCACTGTTCTAAGCATTTTATAAGTATCTTATTTAAGGTTCACAAGAACCATAATGAGGCAGGCAGGTATTCTTATTACCCTAAATGAATAGATGAGAAAAACTGAAGATAAATATATTGTACACTGGGTGGGAATTATGTGGGGTTGAGAGTGTACCGTGTGAGGTTGAGAGAAGCCCAGCCACCTTCTTTACTTAATTATATATTGATTGATAGACTTTATTCTTTTTTTAGAGAGGAAAGGAAAGGAAGAGAGAGGGACAAATTTGTTGTTCCACTTATTTATGCTATCATTGGTTGATTCTTGTACATGCCTTTGACTGGGAATCAAACCCGAGACCTTTCAGTCTACGGGCCGATGCACTAACCACTGAGAACACCAGCCAGGGCCAGATATGCATTTTTAAATCCTGTATTGAAATGCTGGCTGATGGCACAGGGAGCACTGTGCTCTGTGTTTCTCATATAAATGAACAAACCAGTTCTGTTTCCCAGAAAACCTCTGGCAGGTCCTGGAAAGAGCAATCTGTACCTGCTCCTCGTTCTTAGGAGCCATTGCTCCCAGCACGGACTCCAGGCCCTTCTGGGGAGGACTTCCTTTTTGGATGTGGTTTTCAACCTGGTCTTTTAGTTATCAATCAAAACACACACTTGCTAGGTTGTCCTCATTTACATGTATTTAATGCTTAAGGTCATTTGTGAGCATTTGCGTGTATTTCAGCATATGGAATCAGGGAATAATAGATTTCAGCATCATGCTGTGAAGAGAGGTTGTGTTTGTACAAGACATAATGTTGTTTACTGGGTGTTAATAATCACTAATAAATAAACACATCTAGACTTCCAAAATGTTGCATTTTGAGGAATCAAAATGTCAAGTGTTTAACTTATGAAGTGTAATAGTATTTTCTATCATCACTTCATAAAATAATTACGTTACTAAAGAAGTAAAATGTCATTGTTCAACACAGTACATATGCAAACAATGCTTACTACTTGGCCTTTGTTTCTATTATCTGTTCTCAAGAATGCTACTTCTAAATATATTGTTCTGATATGTACCTAGACATATAGTCTATATGTCAATAGTCATATAAGAACCTCCAAGATAGTATTTTGTGTGTCTTTATTTCATATTAACTCTGGTCAATTTCTTCCTTTTTAACCACTGCAAGCATTTTGTCCAAAATCTACTAAAGCACTTTGTCGGAAAACAGGTGAATGAGTTAGTCCTTGAAATGCCTTGATCTTGTATTAAGAAGCTACTTGACCACTTAACCTTTAAGAAGCTAAGAGGAATCTGCCAACCAGTGATGTAATAATCAGTGTTCCCCTTCTATCTACTGCTTTCCCACCCATGACCAGTGCAATATGATAAAAGCCTTAGCTCCATATGAGAAGAAATAAAAGGAAACCGCTCACAAAAGAGCTAAGATATGGCACAATATTCCTTTTTTAATGCCTCAATGCATATGCAGAATTTCTTCTCCAAATTGGAGGTGTGGGATAACAGTAGCGACAGATAACTAAGAGGTATTTACCACAGCTACAAAGCCCACATGTGAGCCAAATATTTCTGCTATTAAAAAGCACTTCAGAGCTTGACATGAAGTTTATAACAGCTAAATGTCTCCTGTGACTTCATTTGCAAAGAAGATAGAAAAGCAGAAAGGAAAATCGTGATATGAGAACTGGGAGCCTAGGAGATTGTGCTTTTAAAAAGGAACGAGAAACCACCCAGAGGTTTGACTGGCCCTCTGAGCTCCCATTTTCGCTGCCCTGACCATGTTCTCTAACAACCGGCACTCCTCCTGCCACCGAGCCTCTGCCTGCCTCTCACACAGGGCCGACCCAGGTTGTGTGGGGCCTGAAACTTATTTTGAGGGCCCTCTTTAGGGTGATGAATTTGATTAGACCTTACTTTGGCAAATTTTACAGAAGCATACTACCGAGTGAACTCATTGCTAGGGCTCCTCGCGGGCCTTGGGAGGGGCCTGTGCAAGTGAGGGGTCCCAGCAGTTAAGCTTCATTAGCTTCCCAGTAAATCCACCCCTGCTCTCATAAACGCCACCAACCTTGCCCAGAATAATGCTCTTCCCTTGTATACGTCCTTACCCGCTCTGTTCCATTGTAATCCCGCCTGGCCATTGCTAAATATGAAAGGCCTGTTTGTGAAGCCCAGGAGCTTTAGCTCTGGCCAACGAAGACCTAGGCCCTAGGTCCTAGGGTGTTCCTATGTGAGGCACATAGCAATGACACCTCAAAGATCTTAATACAGTCTTTTGATGTTTCATTCATTTGTTCATCCTTGCAGGCCTCCATTCATTTAACTAATATGTCCAAGGTATTCTGCCTTTGAGAACATAAATTGTGCAATAATCAAGAATAATCCTTGAACAAAGGAAATTGTGCTGCCAAATATAGCTAGGGATTGGTGAAAGAGCAAATGTATTTACAGCATCTCAATTGTTAGGTTTATCTGAAGCTGTCTTCAAAACGGTGACGGTCTAATAAAGAACCATTCAGAGCTTTTGACGCCTACATATTTCTAGGTGTTCCAGAATTAGTGAATGGCGTCATTCTATGGGTAATATGAACAGTTACAAAATTTTTAAAAAATCTATTAAATATACCCTGCTGTGATATTAAAAGTGAATTTCTACTTAAGAAAAAAGGTTATCTTTGTGTGAAAATTGCTAGTGAATTTAGGCCTGTGACTTTTATTGTTCTTTGATAAACCATTAGTCTTAGTAAACTATGGAACTTATTATAACTTTTAAGACTTTTTTATAACTCAAATTATACCTTTATGTTTTTAAGATTTATATCTTTTCGGAGGCTCATTTTCCATTAGAGGTTAAATTGGGGGTGTGAAAAATGATTTTTAAATGGAAACCCCATTGGGGGTGTGAAAAATGATTTTTAAATGGAAACCCTCTGCAGTCTTTTCACCTTCCTCACTCTCTTCATTCAGTCTGGCTTCCACTGCTCCCCCACGTACACCTTCTCCCTTGTCACCCAGGCCTCTTCATTCTCCTCCTAACACATTTGGTCCTTCCCATCTCTGGTCTCTGCCAATCTTATTCCCCTCCTCGCCCATCTAAGTCCTTCCTTCTAGGATGACTTAGTTACCATTTCCTCCTGACTATTTTAGCCTGCTCTCATCTTTTCCTTCTTTTAACTTCAATTGGCCTTAGAATAGTCCCACAGTAAAACATGGTGCATTCTCTTATTGCCCAAAGCGTGTTGTCTTTGTTTTCATGTTCACTGGTGCATCCATTTCTTGACAAGTATTTTGATCCCTTTCGCCAAGTACTATCCTAAGTGCTGTAGATTTACTGATGAACACGACTGAGAACGTCCATGTCTTCTTAGAATTAACATTCTAGCAAGTGAGGCAAATAATGTTTTTGAAGGCAAGGATTCTGCTTAATGTGTTTTTGTATTCTCTGAAGCAATTAGTATACTTTATCCCTGTTATAGGAAAAGTTTTAAGATTTGTATTAGGAGCACATTTTGAAAGATAGGAATCCACAAGACTTACAGAACCAAACAATTTTTAGGAGAGGAAAGTAAAGAGCTAGAGATGCAGACATCAGTGCAAATATCAGATAGCTGACTCTCATTTCAGGGTAGGGTTCTTCTCAGGCAGACACATGCAGTGTCTGTAGACACACCGACATTGTGAGTAGGCATTTATCTGTCCTTTGTCAGGTTGAAGAGGAAGGTTAGTAGAAGGTAACTGAGATAAGGAAGCTGAGGGCTCTCGTAAAGAAATGTTCTGATAAAATGTACCTATTAGTGAGTTTGCTAGAATTATGGTAACATAATCTTGAGCACTGCTGAGAATCCTAAAGATGTCAGATATGGAAAAATGAAATTACTAAGTGTACTTTTTATTACTAACATAACATTTTTTATTTGCTTGACATGTTTATAGAAGGACTGATGCCCCAGCTTCTTTGCACCAAAGAAACTAACTCCCACAGGAATGTCATCCAGTTTCAGATATTTTGATAGAGTTCTTTTTTTTCCTATTAAAATGAGCCAGCTTTTAAAATATGGGACACCGTATTTTTAGGGGCCCTCTAAACTGCAGCGTATTTAAAATTTAAGACCTCTTCTTCTAGAATAACATTGTATTAACTCCTTGGACACGACGATCCCTACTCTTTAGCCAGGTTAAACTCTCACTACCAAAAATCGGCTAAGTTCTGTTTTGATAGCAAGGTGTGCAGGTTAGACTACTGCATTCTCTGTTAAAATGTCTTCCAGTTTTAAGGAAAAAAATCCTACCTTCATAGATAGATATTTGTATCACAGAAGTTACATATCAAATAAAAATGTCTTCATTTTCAAAGGATTTTGTCACTTTTAAATGGACGAGGGGCAATCTTAAAAAAATTTTTTAGAGTATGACCACATCATAATCTATTGCTAAAAATCATTTTTTTAAGTTTAATAATAGACACTTATTTCATTACTTTGCTATTACAAACAATGCTGCAGTGAAACACATCTGCACATAAACTGTTCATTTGCAAGTATGTTTGCTGAGCCAATTTTTAGAAGTGGACTTAGTCTATTCATATCAAATCATGGAAATTCTGAAACTTTGTAACATATTTTTATATCTGTTAAAGACTAGTCCCTTGCATTATTCTTTCTTTCTAGACTTATTATAAAATTATGTTGGTATTTTGAGTATGCAGTATTGGCATTTTCATTGAAATATATGATTTACTACAACTTGATATCTTTATGACTTTGGTCTTCATTTCCAAGAACAGGGTGATTTCTTTCTATTTAAGTTGTTTTTTAGGTGTTTCACTAGCATTTAAAATCTTTCCTCCTGACCCATGTGGTTCAGTTGGTTGGAGTGTTGTCCCATACACTGAAAGGTCGCAGGTTCGATTTTGATTGCCTGTCATGGTACATATCTAGGTTGTGGGTTTGGTCCCAGTTGGGGAGTTTGTGAAAGGCAACCAGTGTCCCTGTCTCTCTCTCTCTCTCTCTCTCTCTCTCTCCCTCCCTCCCTCCCTCCCTCCCTCCCTCCCTCCCTCCCTCTCTAAAGTCAATAAACATTCTCCAGTGAGAATAAATAAATAAATAAATAAAACATTTCTCTTGTTAAGCTTATTTTTGGAAAATGCATTTTTTTATTTCTCTTATAAATGAGATCTTTTTTTCCATTACATTTTCTAACTGGTTGTTACTTATGTGCATATAAAGAAAGCTATAGGGTTTTGTGTAGTAAATATTCAGTTGCCTCAAATTTCTAATAGTTTGTCAATTTATTCTCTTGAATATTTTAAATTAACCATTACATCTTATGTAAATGATGATAATTTTAACTTCTTTCTGATTCTTATACCTCTCTTTTCTTTATTTTGTATAATTTTATTGGCTAAAAGTTTCCAGAATTATATTATACTATATAATAAAAGGCTAATATGCAAATTGACTGAACAGCAGAACGACTGGTTGCTATGATGTACACTGACCACCAGGGGGGCAGATGCTCAACGCAGGAGCTGCCCCCTTGGTGGTCAGTGTACTCCCATAGGGGGAGCACTGCTCAGCCAGAAGCCGGGCTCACGGCTGGCGAGCACAGTGGCAGTGGCAGGAGCCTGTCACACCTCTGCGGCAGCGCTAAGGATGTCCGACTGTCAGCTTAGGCCTGCTCCCCAAGTGGGCCTATGCCATCAGTCAGACATCCCCCAAGGACTCCTGTACTGCAAGAGGGTGCAGGCCGAGCTGAGAGGACCCCTGCCCCGAGTGCATGAATTTAGTGCACTGGGCCTCTAGTATTAAATAATAGCATCTTTGAGCCTTACTTTTTTGATAATCCTCTAATATTTCACCACTAAGTATGCATTAGCTTTTTTTGTATCAAAAATATATTTTTTTATCTTGTTAAGGAATTTTTTATTGACTCCTATTTTTAAAAAATTATCATAAATATGGAACTTTATGTCTTTTCAGCATGTATAGAGATGATCAAATTGTTTTTCTTATTTCACCAACAACTATGACAGTTCATGTTAACAGGTTTCCTAGTATTATAACATCTCAGCATATTTAGTCACTTAGTTGTGGTGCTTTAATTCTTCCTTTAACATGCTGTTTTATTCTAATAATATATTATCTGAGATTTTTTTGAATAACAACTTTATTGAGCTACAATTCACATACCATACAATTCACCCACTTAAAGTATGCAATTCAATGCCTTTTAACATATTCACAATTATGCAACCATGACAGTCAGTTTTAGAGTATTTTCATCACCCCCAAAAGAAATCCCATACCCATTAGCAGACACTTCCCATTCCCTTCCACCCTTTCTTCTTCCCAGTGCTAGACAACCACTAATCTACTTCCTGTCTCCATCGATTTTCTTTTCCATAAATGGAATTGTACAATATGTCATGTTTCATATCTGACTTCTTTCACTTAATATATAGTGTTTTGAGGTTCATCCATGTTTTAGCACCTATGAGGATCTCACTAGTGTTTATGGTTGAATAATATTCCATTGCATGGATATACCATATCCATTCATCACTTTATGGACATCTGGTTGTTTTCATTTTGAAAGTTCTTATGCTGCTTAAAACATGCTGCTATGAATATTTGTGTACAAGTTTTTGTGACAAGTTTCATTTCTTTTGGGTGACTATGGTCACATAACCTCTATGTTTATCCTTTTGAGAAACGCCAGACTGTTTTCCAAGGTGGCCGAGCCATGTTTCATTCCCACCGGTAGTGCATGATGCTAGCTGAGCTTTTTGCATTGATATTCATCAATAAAATTGGTCCACACTTTTACTGTGCAACCGTTATTAGGTTTTAATATCACTAGTATACTGGCTCCCTAAAAGGATTTGGAGGCTTGACATCTCCACTACCGAGATGAGATACAGCTGAGGACTCTACCCAGTACCCTGTCAATTATGGGGTTTTCTAGTCTGACTGGTGGAAACAGGTACTATCCTGGCCCTGAGTGAACACTGGTCCAGTCCCCTCCACTTCTCTCAGGTGGTTCTTTTCTTAACCTCAAGTAGTTCCCTCATATACACGCACCAATCAGTACTCTGTAGAAGACTCCAGGGGGACTCTCCACAGTTCTTCAGAATTTTCTCTCTGCAGCAATCTCCTGTCTGGTACTCTGTACTGTGAACTGGAATCGCCTTGGTTTCCTTAGACTTTCAGGGAGTCTACCTGCTTCCACCTTAGTTCTTCCCCCCTGTGCTATGGCCTGGAAACTCTCAAGGCAGTAATCTGAGGCAATGGCAGGGCTCACTTCATTACCCCCACCCCTCTCAAGGATCACTGTCCTTTGTTGCTGATTTTCAGTGTCTTGAAAACTATTGCTTATATGTTTGTGTAGGTTTTTTTAGGGGGGGGGTGTGTTTCAGGCAGTAGGATAAATGAGGTCTTTGTTACTCCATTTTTGCCAAAAGCAGAAATCTTCAGAAAGCATTTTAAGTGGCTTGAATCTGTGGCTAAACTACACACTCCACTCAGAGAACAACTTAATATAGGGACCTCTATTTCTTGAGTGCTCTCTGGGTGCCAGGCACTATGCTAGGGAAACTCATACAGAATTCATTGATAGGACGTATTTATTGAACAGCTATTAGGTGTCAGGGACTGTTCTAGGCAATGAAGATACATCCTGGTACAAAACAGGCTTTAAAAAAATATTTGTCCCTATGGTGCTTATGTTCTACCTGAGAAAGAGAGAATAAACAAAATTAATAATTCAGTTATATAGCACATTAAAGGGTAATAACCACTATAGAAAAATAAGGAGCAGGTTAAGGGGGTTCAGGAGTACTGAAGTGGAAATTAATGATTGCAGTTTTAAGCAGAATGGAAGTCTTACTTGAGAAGGTAACACATTTGAGCAAAGACTTGAAGGAGATGAGGGAACGAGCCATGGGTTGTATGGAAGAAGAGCATTTACACAAGGAAGCAGCCTATTTAAAGACCCTAAGGCAGAAGCATGCCTGGTGTATTCAAGTAATCATAGAGAGACCTCTGTTGCTAGAGCAAAGACCAAGGGGAAGAGTCATAGGAAATGAGGTCAGCATGGGAACTGGATTGAATAGGGTTTTACGGGTCATTGTCAAGACTGACTTTCACTATGAGTGGAGAGAGGAGCCATTAGAAGATAGTAAGAAGACAAGGTTTGTGATTTGAAATATGTTTTGAAAGGCTAATTCTGGCTGCTCTTTTGAGCAGAAATTGTGGAGTGATAGGTGGAAGCAGGGAAACCAATTAGGAGACTGAATTAAATCAGATGAGAGATGATAATAATTCTTTCTAGGGTGGAGCAGTAGAAGGATAGAAGGTGGATTTTGACATATTTCAAAGGTAGAACAAACTACATTTCCTGGCACATCCAACGTGGGTATAACAGAAAAAAAGAATTGAGGATATAGTCATAGTCAAAGTTTTTGGCCTGAGCAACTGGAAAGATGGAATTAGCAGATGAGAAAGACTGTGCATGAAATGAATTTGGGGGGAGGGGAGAGAGGGAGATGAGGAGGAATTTAATATTGAACATATGAAGTTTGAGATGTCTGCTAGAGTCCCAAGTGGAATTATTAAAATAGGAAGTTGGATATATGAACTTGGAGTTCAGGGGACAGTTCCAGGCTGATAGGTCCAGTAAATGAAGACTGATAACTGACCCGAATTTAGCAATGTTGAGGTTGTTGGGGAGACTGTCAGGATGGGTGATTTTTTAACTGCACCTGAAAACTGAGAACTGCTAAGTGAAAGTCTTTTCCTCCATCTTGCCCGATGGCTCATTTCATTAGTAAGAAATGCAACTGACATGCCAAGCACAATATATGCTATTTCACATCCTTTATTTTTTTTCAAATTTGTATTTCGGTCAGATGGGAAATACTTTGATTTTAATATGTACCTTACTGATATTGAGTCTAGATTCATTCTAATGACTATGGTAAAGATAAGATATTTTTCCCTAGTTTGTCTCCAAAACATATAAAACCTAGCAAAAGCTTAACTATTGTATTTAAATAGAGAATTCTTCCTCTTCTAGAGTTGATGACTAAATAAAATACAGAACAGACCGTTATGTTCTAGTTTTTTATTATACCTTTTGAAATAGTTTGTATATGCTTTTTAAATAATTTCAAGTGCCATGAAAAATAATGTTAATAGCTCAAAATCAAAAGTAAAAAAAACACACAAAAACCCCTAAGTATAATTTTTAAAAAATCTTTTTTTCCCTCAAGCGTTTTACGATGGGATAATGAGACAGATGTCTCTCAACTGGAAGGACATTTTGACATGGTTATGTGTGCTGACTGGTAAGTACATAAAAATCATAAAACTCCTGTTAGGAAAAAAAATAGCTTTGCTGGAGTAATTGGGCTGTGCTGTTTTGCTGTCGGCTAAGCAAAGTCAACAAATGAAGCACAAAGCCACCTTAACCTCAACAAATTAATATTCATCTCCATGTGACAGTTATAAGGTAGTCTCCTATCACAGAGTAACTTCTACCACATTATTTCCCAAAGATTGATTTTGAGAAGCATTTCCATTTTCTGGAATTGCCTCTGTTTCATGCTTGACGTATCAGTAAATGGACGACTTAGGCAAATTGCAAATAATTATGGCTCGGAGAGGAATAGTCTGGAGAAAAAGGAGTTTATCAACACAAGCAGCTCAATTAGCTTACTTCTTAGGAGAGATCTGACTATTGATATAAGGGAATATATGTATGTGTGCACACATATATACGCTCCAGCAAATAAACATATCTATGGAATATCTTTAGGGAAATAGCTTTTCTTAAAATGTATGTTTGCTATCTAATACTGTTCAATGTATTCAATTATGATATTTAATTATACATAAAATAAGAATTATAAAATTACATTGTAATTGTTATGCAAATAATAATATTAAAATCTCTGTCAGATGCCTGCTTTTTAAAAATAATTTACATATTTTGTCTTATCTTTTAGCTCAGTCTACTTATTGTTAATGACAGTCTGATCCTAAGTTACAGGATAAATATGTACCAAACCTTAATAATGATTTCAACTAATCTTACGTATTTTCTTCATGTGTGTTGAATAATAATTGTTTCAGCATATGGGAAATGTTGACAATTCACAATTATTTTTCCTGTTAAGAGTAAGATTTTATTTGTATGTTTATCTTGATGTGTTTATGACACCTAAGTTCAGATTCTAAAGATCTATTATATTGATAAACTGAATCATAAGACCCAGAGCCCAGAGAAGACTCCCTCTCAGAGAGTTGAGTGAATAGGATGACATTTTCAGGAAGTCTTTATTATTATTATTATTATTATTATTATTATTTAATACAATTTTTAATGGGTAACTTTTCTACCCAGGTTAATGAAATTAGATTTTCTTTCTTTTTTCTTCTGAATAGTACTTCTCAATAAAAAATTAATATTTCATTTTATTTTTAGCTTGAGATTTTCTAGTTTTCCATGCCCTTTTAGTCTCTTTGAACCCAGTTTCAGAAAACCTGTTCCAAAGAAAGAAGAAACAGATTCCTGATTAATCATTGATAGTGTGTCTCAATATTACATCCTTCATCTCATCGAAAATAAGGAAATAAAATCTCACCATATGATTTGAGCATGTAATTTAGTAAGTGCCTTTCCTCACCAAATATGAGAAAGATCCTCCAGGTTTCATTGCGCAGATGAAGATAATGCTGGCAGGATTAGATCAGATTAAGCAGGAAAGTCAGCTCAGAGAGCAGCGGAAAGAGGGACGGAGGGCAGCATCTTCTTGGAGGCTTAGACGGGTCGCACATGGATGGGCTCTGATTACGTGGGGAAAGTCAGGGCTGGCCAAGAGATTTAGGTTACATTTGTCCTTTGCACAAATATCAAAACAGCCCGTCCTTGTCATACCTTGTGTTGTGGGCACTCACACCATGTCATCCTATTTGTACCAGAGAGACAAGCAGAGGAAGTAAGATTTAAGCTCTTTTATGATTAATGTTTTCAGGTTAAAAATAGCCACACAACATGTTTGAAAAATAGTCTTTTTTTTCCTTGCCAACAACAGGATCACATACAACTGGTATACATAATGCATATTCACTTAACGCTTTCATTACAAATATAGTATAACATAATACAGTGCACACACACCACACACTCACACATCACAAACACACATCACAAACACACACATCTAGTGGCTCTGTGAGAATGTATGAATTCAAATGAACTAAATAGACCAAGTTTCATTTTATAAATGGCTTTTCTATGCATGAATTCAGTGGGTTTTTTTTCCTGGTGTTCTAAGTGCCAGAATGTCAGCCTGTTTATAATTTCCCATTAGGAAATGTGAAACATTAAGCTACTCTCACTGCGATGCTGATATTATTTCCAAAAGAAATGCTTTGGGAATGGTCTCTCTTCATATTCACAGGGATGGGTAAGCTGCTTAGAAACTTAGAAAGTACAGCGGTGTTTGTAATATGCATGTTGTGCCGATAGCAGTGAGGCCCAGGGCTCCATGAGCTCTTTATTGTCCTGTAGGTTTGGCATTTCTCTATCAGAGTTTCTGCCTGGATGCTGCTTCTAGGGGCAGGCAGGCAGACCATGCAGCTTTTCTCTCTCTCTCTCTTTTTTTTTTTTTTGAATGTCACAGAGGAGGAAAAGAAAGCTCCCTTTAGACACTACCACCAAGATGAAACCTGAAATGCTCAGTGCCAAAACTAGGTACCACACATAAATAGATCACTTAAGTCTCACCCCATCCTTCAGTCATTGTCAGCCAATGAGATCTGGATTAGGCCACGGGCATATGAAGCAAGAGTCACAGAGTTCGAATATTAGGCACATGGATTAAATTCTTATTGAAGCATTTCCAGCAAGGATGGCATTGTCTGATTCCCTGAATAGCTAACCAGTGGTACTGCTTGATCCCATTTACATGAAAACAAGCTCTATTCACAAACCTATTCCCAACCCACATTGTGGCTCAAGTAAAAATGCACATGATTACAACAGGCGGTGATATGTTTATGTTCTTGAATCATTCATATATTCATATATTTACATTCAAACATTCACAAACCTGTGGGTACCGGGGGAAAGAACTCATTTCCCAGAAGACACAGTCTCTTGGCTCACATCTAAATTATTAGCTCGACTAGATTATAAAATAAAAAGGAAAGCTGTGAAAGCTAGTCATTATTTAACTGTTCAGCATTTTTGACAATGAAATATAGTTTCATGGTTCAACAGTTCCTAAATAACTTGTAAAACGTCAACTTTGAAATAAACAGAAAGGAAAATAGAGGTACTGCAAAAGGGATGCTGTGGACAAGCATCAAAATATTAGAATATTTAACCACAGGTGTAAAAAAAACACCTGCCTATTAAGTTCCTTGGTTGACTTGTTTAATGTTGAATTTAATATGAGTTCCTTTGCACTGGAATGCAGTCCGACCCAGTCCTTGCTGAGCTTAGAAAAGTGAGTGATTGTTACTATTAAGTCTGCCTTTCCAGACTCCTGTTCAACCCCAATAATCTAAGAGCCTGGAAGTCAGATTTTTTTTTTTATCCAGTGAACGCCTCATTCAGCATTTGATGGCTTTCCAGTTTATTGTAGCTCTGCAGAAATGAAAACGATTCTGCACCTTGGACTCTAACGGCTCGGAGAGAGGCTGAAATGCCACCCGGAGCCTGCCGCGTGGAGCTAGGTGTGTGGGAGTCAGCACCACCTGGGCACGCCTGCAGCCAGACGTGGGAGAGAATCGGGGAAGGCACATCACCTCCCTTGCTCTCAGCATTTTCACTGTGGACACTGGATTGTTTCTATTTTCTATTCTTTTTTACTTTTAATGATTTTTTTTTTAAGTTTGGTTTTTGTGGAACAAAATTTTTTTTTTTCAAAATAGGTTCTAGAATTTCTTTGATTTCTTTCCGATGCTGTAATCATGGATATTTCTAAATCACACCTTAAAGAATTTTACTCCTGAAAAGATCTTTAACCCAAACGTAGTGAGCCCTTTCCCCTCACACCTGAGGACACAGTCCCAAGAAGGTATACAATGTGCCCAAGATCTTGCAACCTAAGGGGCAGAGCAAGTGGGATCAGCACAGGGCACGAGTGCCAGCTTCCACAACAGTCAGTGATAACTACTGACGGAGGCCATTCTTCCGCTGCAAGTTAATCCGAAACATCGAATGTAACTGAGCACATTTCACCTTGAAAATCACAAGAGGTCTTCCTTTTTGTGGATAGTGACAGAGAATTGCCTCCTTTCCTCTGCACTAATTAATTTCCCTGTGAGAGGAGCTGCAAATGCTCTGTGCGCTGCTCAAAACAGACTGATTCTAAAGGGAAGGGATGAAAATGGCCCAGCACCTTTCCTTTCTCATAAAATCTGTGGTTCAGATCAATGGAACAAAGCAAGTTTGATTCCACGAGTGAATTCTGTAGAGGTGTGTGTGTGTGTGTGTGTGTGTGTGTGTGCACATCTGTGTGTGTTTTAATGGCCGACCTAGGCTGACTGTCGATGCACTTTGATCAGTAACTGAAGGGGAGAGTTGAAACGGTATCTCCATCCCCATCACTGACCCTCTCAGCCTTTTTAAATAGATCCACTTAAGCTACTGCTGTTCTCTGAGCCCATTAGGACCATTTAAGGGGCGAATTTTCCCGAGATTATATATCACTCCTACTAAAGCACATTGAAATTGCTCATAGGACTATCCTGCAAAGCGTTATAAATTCTGCATCAGAGCTAAGGAGACAGGTGAGCTTGCTTGGAATAAAGACCACTTAGAAAACTACAGGAATTACTTTTGGGAAATTTGATGTGGATGGAGCAGACGACATTACTGTATTTGGAATGTGTCCTATGTGTTGAGCTGCATTTTTTCAGTAAGTTGGGGTGCTAATTAATATCTTTGTCACCATTACCAACATTCATTTTAAGGTTATGTTTTAAACTCAACTTTTAAGATGCTGTTTTTTATTCTAATGATCTTACCAGCTCTTAGGATGCACAGGTATAAACTGAGCATGGTCTTTTGCTTAATGCTATGTACCCCAACCAGCCAGGTTTTCTATAGGCCCGAGTACCTGACAGAGATACCCTCCCACAATGATAGTCTTCTTAAAAAACAAAACCAGAATGCTTAATTATTAAAACTTAAGATACCATTACCTCACTAAAGAATAAGGTATATAGTCCCGAAGAGAAAAAGTTTTAAGACACTTAGATATAACTTGATTTCTTCCTTTTCCATCCTTAATGGTTATTAGTCACTGATTAACATGACTTAAAGGCAGATTTTATAAAAACAAATATTTGCCAACTAATATGTATTATTAAGTTGATTCCACCACAGCCACATAGGTGGGCCTTTATTGATATAGACACAGAGGCCTCATGGGAAGCGACTTGTCAAGGTGACATAGCAGAGAGGTCAGAGCCATAGCTCTATTAAACGGTGAACTACACCCCACCCTTGCCTGCTGACGGCCGAAACCCTCAGCTCCAAGAAGGATGAGGCAGGGCCCTGGAGTAGGCAGTACTTACTCATGCTCTGTGAGGAGCAGAGAGGTGAAATCAGAGGGGCCTGCACCCAAGGACAGCATTGGGAATGGGAGAGGGCTCCCACTTAGGCTCCTCCTGGGGTGGCTGATGCACAAGGCTGCCCAGTGTCCTAGCCTGTGAGTCCCAGATAAGCAAACTCTGTCCCAAGCTTTCCAAGATAAGGCCTGGTGAAGACGGGGGTCAGACCAACCTAACCAAAGGGATGACAGAGCTACAACAAATTCTCCAGAGACCAGAGGATAAAAAAGAAAGATGACAGTGAACTGGAAAGAAATCAACATGGAGATCAAGGGGGAGGAATCCAGAGTTGCCATGGTCTCCGTGACGCGTTGCCCAAACCTTATCTTTGTTCTTTGTTTTTGGAACCATTTAGTTCTAGGTCCCTGGTGGAATCTAACCTCAGTGCTATTCCTAGTCACTAAAAGCCGTCACCACCGGAGATCATTCCGGCGGTTTATTTTTGGAGGATGGTTGCACAGCACCCTCCGTGTGCGGAGGGCCCGGGTCTACAGAGACTAAGCTCCAAGGGCAGCAAGTGCTGGGAGAGCTTCCTCCAAACAAGCTTAGAAATCGTCCCGTTAACAATAACCTGTGGCCCAGTGCGTGTGAATAACCCAGGCCCATTGCATGTTGATGACTTGGCTTCGCTTCCATTGCAATACCACTAACCACAATATCTTTATTTCTCCCCCAGCAAGACATTTGAATAGAAAAATGCAATTTCTCTTCTTTAGCGTTGAGTAAACATGTGTAATTAGCCCTGTACTTGTCTCCATTAGCATCCTTAGACTTGAAAACCCAGTTTAATCTGGATTCTGCTCTCTTCTCAATGGCAGCCTGTTTCTGGACCAGTACAGAGCCAGCCTGGTCGATGCAATAAAGAGATTGCTCCAGCCCGGGGTAAGTAGTTCCTGTTTCCTCCCGAACACTGGTTCAGAATAATTAGTCTGCGCACAGAGATGGAGAGAGTAATGGAATGGCAGGATTAATGTCATGTGATACTTTAATACTTATTATGTCCAACTTCAATTGGGTCTTCTGATCTATCAGATTCTTTCCTAATCATAACCAGGAAACTTCTTACCCTTGGCCTTCAGATAAGGAACACAGTGGGTAGCAAAATAAATGAAACTGCTTCAAAGATAGTGTGAGATTATTTTTTATCAAAGAATTTCTTGAGTCTTTTCCTTTGATAGCAATATCTTCATATGAAAGTAGAAGTATGATATAGAAAGTTTTCTGTTGACTTCTGTCATTTTAAATCCCTTCAATGGTAACCTTTGTCATTGGGTATTTATTGCAAAGGCATTTTTTTTCTATTTCTGTTTATATTAAAGAAAAAGGACTTCAGATGAATCTGTATATTAAAAGTTCTTTGCTTTAAAAGGAAGCCATTATTTACATATTATAAACATTAGGTCACAATGAAGCCACGCATGGCATAAAAATTGTGCACATTTTTACATTTATATATCCATTTATGCCTGTGAGTAAATTACAGAGTTTGTATCCACTCTTATTTTGTTGGGCTGTTATACTAAGCTAGGAGGTCTTGCAGCCTAAACAGAGAGTTAATATACGTCTATTTAAAGTAAGAAAACGAGTTTAAAGCTCATGCATTAAAAAAAGAAAAAAAAATTTAAGTATGTAAGGTTCTCTCTGTACCATCGAGTTTAAAATAGCATAACAATGTTAATGCAGTCAGTCTAGGGCAGGAACTCAAATTTATTTGAGCAAAGACTACAGTGTGTGTGTATGAAGTATTTTCTAGTTTTGTTTCTAAAGTCTTTTTAAAAGAGGGTTTGCGCCAGTCTTCTGACCTCAGTGAGACTTACAGACTAATACCTTTCAATATTCCTTTTATATCTGTTTTCACATGGAAGGTTCCCAGGGCAATTTGATAATCATCCTTTGCCTCACACTGTTGCTTTTTATTTTGTTATCTCTGTATAGCTCAGAAACTTTAAATAGACCTCTCAGAGGAGTAACCACAGCTTGGTAAGTGGTAATCAATTAAAGGAAATTGGCTTCTCGGTTCCCTCTGTGCGGTGGGTAGTAGGTCTTGAGGCGAGGAAGGGGCGTGGCCCACGCTGGGGATGGCTGCTGCCCTAGTTGGGTGAGCAGCCTGAGCTGAGGGTGGAAAAGGGAATTTGGGGCCTCTCCATCCCCCCTGTGAGCCTTAGGTGAGCCTTGTGAGCATTTGCAAGGTGAGGATTTTCAGAGGCACTGAGACTCTTGGATGTCAAGGCCTCCATGGAAATGTATCATAGGCCACATATATAAATGCAGTGCTTTCAAGGACTCCTGGATCTGCCCTGCACAAACAGGACCACACTCCACGCCAGCCCCTTCCGGCCTGTTGGTGGCAAATACTCCATTTTGCAGCAGATCTGCATGATTTGCCCAGAATCTTTTGTAAATCATCCTCATGATTCACAATAAAAAACTGCCCAAGCTATGAATAGACCTAAGTATAGATTGGACTGGAATCCTAGCAGGTCCCCTGTTCCCTCTATTAAACCTTGAACCACACTCCCCCTGGCCTGAAGTATGGCTCCACACAGCAGCCCCCCTGAGCGAAGACAGCAGCCCTCCCTACTGACGGCTGTTACTTACCTTAGCTCCTAGCAGGAGGAGGCAGGGCCCTAGAGTAGACGTCCTCCTTACCACGTGAGGAGCAGGGACCCTGGATCAGAGGAGCCTGCACCGAACAGCTGCATTAGAAATGGGAGAAGGGCCTGGCTTAGGCTCCTCATTCACAAACGGCCAGGGCTCTAGATTAAGGGGTAAGGGGTCCACTGTAGGGGGGAGTCCGAGTTGCGGATGACACATGGGCATTCCAAAATTACCCCCCAGGAAACTCATCCCTTTTGGGGGATCTAGGGAGGCACAACACTTGCACTCCGTAGGCCTCCACCCAGGTGTACCCTGCAAGGGTCACATGGACTTGGCAGTGACCTGCAGCTCCATGTCCTGTGCCATTGGGCTAGAAGGGTTCCCAGAGCTTGGGGGTAACCAGAGGAAGAGCTGAACTATTCTTCTTAGCTCTCAGCGCTGGCTGTTCTGCTTCCAGAGGACCACCCCCTGCTGAGTGTGTGTGTTGTGAAGTCACAGTCCAGACTAAGATAATAGCAAAGGTTTTATTTCTACTTAGAGCTGCTTTCAATGTTTTCTTGAGCCAAGACAACTCCTCCACGGTGTTGTGGCCCAGAGATCTGAAGATGTCACAAGAGGCCCACAGAGAAACAACTTGGGGGCTACGCTGGTGGGTCCTGAGTTCTTCATAATTCAAGGCTCAGCACATCCAATGGGAGATACAAGAAGTTCTCAGGGTGCCCAGCAAAAACTGCACTTGAGCCAAATGCAGCAGATGACAGTGATGTGGGTGCGGAGACGTGGCACTAAAGGGTTTTCAAGGGCAATGCCATGATTCCCAGGTGTCTGGCTTCGTTTCAAAAGTGGAAGAGTATGGAAGTGCTTGGTACCCAGTAGGTGTGTCTGTGTGTGTGTATGTGTAAGAGAGAGAGAGAGAGAGAGAGAGAGAGAGAGAGAGAGAGAGAGAGAGAGAGAGAGAGAGATGGGTAGTGACCTGGCTCCAAACAGTAGGGGCTTGGAGCCAAGGATATTGAATTCCATTTTAGATGGAATGGGTTAAAGGCACTTTCAGAACTCACCCATGGAGAGATCTAGTAGACACCTGAAAATATGGGTGAATGCTGCAGTTACATACCAGTGAGTTTTGAGGTATAAGTTATAGTTGACATTCTGGACTTCGGTACAATGGCCTAGGACTATATAGAATAAGAATAAAAAGTAGGCAGAGCTTTGGGGACCACTGACAATTAAGGAGCAAGTGGAAGAAGAGAAGTCAGGGAAGGGGACTGAGAGAGACACAGGGGAGGAAGCAGGCGGAAGCAGGGAAAGGCAGCATCTCAGAAACCTGGTAAAGAAAAGGCTAGAAAATAAACATAAGCTTAGACATGTAATCGGTATTTAATAGTTGGTTGCCTGGAAATGCAAGAGGAATAAAAGCCTTTCGTTGGCATAGCATATTCCTTTTAAAATAAACCCTAAGCATACTTATTTTTCCAGAAGTGCACACCCTTTAATATGTGAGTATGGATTAGTCTAGCGAAACAGCAACAACTGCACTCACAATGTAAACAGTATCGCCTTGTTTAGTGGGACTCCTCCTCTCTCCTCTCCAGGGATAAACGAATCTCTCAAATTTCTGCTCATCAGTCAAAATTTTACATTCAATTGAGTGTTCATTCTTCGTTTAAAATGATTCCGTGACTGTGAATGCTTAGAAACTTGTGCTTTGGTAAATTGAAAATAATTTTTCTAAAGTGATGGGCTAATTTGAAATCTATTTTTTTTTCTTGTTTTGATTTTTGCAGCCTAAATTGTAAGGCGTATTCCTTTGATTGGACCCGACAAAGGGTTTGGCTCTACTGAGATGGGTGTGTGTGTCCTAAAACCAATCTCTATGGGGTGGATGCAGACACTCAGTAGGGATCAGTGGATGCTTACTGAAGCATTCAGAATGGATGATGTACTGTTGTCCCTATTAAGTATGAATCCACATCTCAAAAATATCTGTATTTAATTGAATGAAAAGGAAGCATTTTAAAACTCATAACTGAGTAATTAGAGATTAAAAGTCCTGCTTGCTCTTTCTCTTTCTCGTGGGTCCAGTATTGTGCCCTCTCATATCCCGCCATAGTCGCTGACTCTACAAATGCTTCTTGGAGGAAATCTTTTCTAAAGAATAAGCAATAGGACATGGCCTTCGAATCCCCAAAGACTCGTATTTCTCAGATGATTCAACATCGGCATTTGGTTTATTCTCTCAACAAATATTGGTTGAGTATCTACTATCTGCTAGGCCCTGCGAAAATGCGGTGAATAAACATTAGAAGATCCCGTTGGCATGGAGTGTACATTCCAGCCAGAGGAGGCGGGCAATCACAAACAAGGATATGATGTGTGTCAGAGGTGATGGGTGCCAAAAACAAAGATAGAGCAGGGAGAGGGGGTAATGATTGGGGCGGGGGGGGGGGCTGCTGTTCTAGATTGGGTGGTTAGCGAAGGACAGGTAAACCGAGGCCTAAAGGAGGAAAGATGTCTGGGCAGAGAGTGCAGCCATAGGCTTCGTTGCAGTCCCCTAACAGCTCACCCCAGCCAACAAGGGGTGCACTGTGGAGAGCATGTGCTTTGTAAATGCAAGCATCAACCCAACCAAGAACCCCAGAGCCCTGTAACCATGATGATAAATAGCTTAGATCAGAGATTTTCAACCCGTGTGCCACAGGATTTTTAAAATATGCAGTACCACCTGGCTGGTTTGGATAGAGCATTGACCTGCGGGCTGAAGGGTTCTGGGTTTGATTTCAGTCAGGGGCACATGCCCAGGTTGTGGGATCCATCCCCGGTGTGAGGGGTGCAGGAGGCAAACAATCAATGATCCTGGCTCCTCCTTGATGTGGCCATCCTCTCTCTTTCCTCCCCCTTCCCCACTGAAATTAATAAAAGGTTTTTTTAAGGTTGTGTTTAGAAAGAATAT